GCATGAGTTCACGAGACCATTTGTTCTTATGGTGATTCAGACGAACTGTTAAAGGCGCTTCGAGATGAACCGGGCGCCAGCCAAAAGAGTTTGCTAACCTAATGCAGACAGAGATTGGACGCGTTCAGCTCGAAGAGGTCGTTGACCTCCATCTAGATCAACAAATGGTCCAAGCTGCTGACGCTGACGTTGTAAGCCTTTTTTGTCGGCTTGTACGCCTTTTGTTCCAGCTGGTCAGCGTACAGGTCTCGTTCAGAATACCCGGACACTCTGCTAACTGTATGGCAACAAAAACTGTGAGCAAGTTGATACGCCCCAAGCATTAGCATTTTCGAATTGTTCTTGTTGATGTCGGAACCAACGATCATGCAGAGTGATGAATGGTTTTCCATTAATTGTGGTCATCCGATTGAGTTGATCGGTACTCACCCAATTCGTCTCCTATCGATCGATATACTGCAGTCTCTTCTTGAATTCTCCTCTCGGTGAGCGAATCGTCGACCTTTGTAATCGTTTTTGGCTATACTGAATCAGTACTCTGCTCTCTTGTTCATTTGCGTGCTTCGAATACGACCATTGATGCTGAAAACAATTCCCTTCGGCTCCTTTCCACGGCAGGTGAGGTCCACATAGCTGCCTGCTCATTGCAATCCATCCTTTCTCGTTGCACGCCGTCCTATTGAAGAACTAAGTTGGTATCACCTTGGTCTGCATTTGGATGCTAACTGCTAGCATTTACAGTATTCAAACAAAACGATAATCTTACTGTCTCGTCACAAGTCGTGCCATGCGATTTCGTGTGTTTTCAAACGACCAAATTCCATAATCTGGCCCAGCGTGCCAAGTTTTTGTACTACGTTGCAAACAGGATCACCACCGCTGCTTTGTTCAGACTTCCAGTCTCTCGATAAGTCTACGATTAATCGTAATCGTGCAGGGGGTGATGACTATTCTCGCTTCCCAATTTCCCGGTTCATCTGCTGCTCATATTAGATCGTCCAAGACCATTTCCGGGAGATATCTCGTCGTGATTACGCAAGTCGGTGACGTCAATTATTTCATTCGCAATGTCTATGCTCCTTGCAGTAATAATGAGAAGACGGCGTGTTATATGGCTCTTTCCCCTGCCACTGCTATCCTGAAGGAATTCGTCACACAATTCCTGGGGCTTTATCTTACCACAAATTGTCTCGATGGACTGTAAGTCGGTGAGACGCAAGACAGTGGAGCTAGGATCCTACCTCAATCGCTGGTTATCTTCACTCGGAGTGGGTGATGCTTGGCGCTGTCATCATTCTTTATGATCGATTGTTTACCATCCCAGTACCGCAAATGAATCGTTTTGATTAAATTTTATTGGATGACCAGCTTCTCGATAATCATCACTCGGCTGCGTCGTATTTTACGCACACTTATGGATGTAATGATCATCTATTACATAGGGTACACCTGAATACGACAAAACCAGCCCAGAGACCGGGATACTGGCGTTTCCTAAGCAAAGTATTCTATTTTTCTGCCGTCGTGGCTGCCATCGAGTTTGAGGCAGCCCGAGTATGTGCTAACACGTATGGCTACTGACCCTGTGTGTGAAGGCTGGAAGCGTAAAACTCGGAAAGCATTGCAAAATTTGAATTTAGGATTCTAGATGAGCGTACTCGCGACCTTCGTAAGTATCGTTACCTTTTTCCTTTCTGGAGGCAGAATACGTATCAACCCAGCATAGAGGCTCGTCTACAGCTTGGACGGGCGCAGGCTTTCCTTTACTTCCATCAACAGCATTTTAGTGAGATCCACCAGGATGCGGGATTCGTTACCCATGCAACTCAGATGGAGCGCTGCACGCGGCAATTTTTACAAACTCCATGTTCGTATCTCCACCGTTTACCGATTGCAATAGCGCTACGCTCGGACGGTACCGTGGCTATTGATCCCACCCGCTGTTGCAGAAATATTTCGCCGCCACTGGGGCGCTATATTCGGCGATCTAAATTGTTTGCCACATCACTCGAGGATCAACGCTATAGCTCAATATCGTCTTTTGCATACCGTACAGAGGACCTTATCTACTGGGCAGAAACAGGCGCTTGACGAAAATATTACTGCCGGAAGAGTTGGCTATCACCATTTAGTATCTACGCAGTTTATCTGCACGTGGGCCTGATGAATATTCGGCAGCCTCTTACAAAATTTCTTCGGACACCTTCGAAGAGATCCTTTAAATGTCTTTCGATACCAGTTTCAGCGCGGCAACCTGCTTTCCCCACAGCGCAAGGCAGTCGTTCCTCTTTTCCACAAATAGGGTTGTCGGTCGGACCCCAGTAATTATCGACCAATATCGATGATGCAAGTGGACGTTAAAATAATGACCAAATCTCTCATGTATCGGATACATCAGCTCATACCGCATTTAATTCACGTCGAGCAAAAGAGCTTTATCACTGGAATATCGCCTCATCACCATGTGCGTTTACTTAGTGATTTGCAGCACTTGCTGTCACAGACAGATAAGGACGGTATCGCGGTGTTCCTAGATTTTTTTCAAAGGCTTATGATCGTGTGACCTGGATCTAAATGTTTCGTGTGCTATCTCGGATGGGTTTCGGCCACCATTTTTGCTCCTGGATTGAAATGCTGTATCGCAACCCTGAGGCCCGTCTTCTAATCAATGGCAAACTGATAGCTCCGGTGGGGGTCACTCGGGGGGGGTCAAACAAGGTGACCACCTATCTTTTTTCCTGTTCCTATTGTGTATTAAGCCATTGGGTTATCTGTTGCGGTCTCGTCTAGACCTTGAAATATCCCATACCCCTGGGATGCGGTCGGCTGGTCTTTATTTTGCAGACGATTTCACTTTACTGTCATCTTCTCCTGCTGACGCTGTAGACCAGCTCCAGCTTTCCAAATTTACTGTTCAGGTTCATAAGCCTTACTCAATCTCTCCAAGTGTAGGGTTCTTACTCTTTATCGTTCACGAGAGCCGTTCCATATTGCTGGTATACAAGACCTCGAGCCGCAGGATGATGTTACGTTTCTTGAAAGTTTTTTTGGTCAACGCAACTTAACTGCACGGCACCTCGCAGAGATTGATAAACGTCTTATTAATAGCCTAAGGGGGTGGCGATATCGTGCTCGTACTCCTAAGGGACGGTTGACACTAGCTACTTCCGTGATTTTTTTACCTTGTGGTATTTTACACAACATCTTGAAGTGCCCTAGCCGACTGTCCGACGTCGGCAACGGCTACTGGAAAAGATCGTGCTTCATCAACGTATTGATCCAGAGGATACGCCTATTCTCCCCATATCGCATGAGTTTAGCTACCTTTATATGAGTCACGGTGGCCTACATATCCCTCAGCTGGCTGTGCCTTTCGGCGACAGCGCGTTTTCATTACTCAACAGTACATGACGTCGATGACGACATCAACTACACTGGACTGATCAACACCTGCGGCCATTCTCCTTGATGGAGCTTTGCCACATCGACATGTTATTCGTCCATGGGTCTTTTAACTTGTCGTTTCATCGACACCGTTCCTTCATTGATTTGCGATTACTTCCTCTTTGGTGGCGTTCGTCGTGGAAAATTTGGTCGGCTACTTCGTGGCCGGTGATGATTGCGGACTTTCCTCCGGCCATCAGGGACTTACATGTGTTGTCCCAGTCAATTGGGTTTGATCTACAACCTTTTATACAAGCGTCCTCGGGTATATGTCCGTGGTGTATTGGCAAAAATGTTGGACCTTCCCGTCACTTTCAGTTGTCGCTTGCAGAACGGCACGGTCTTCGCTGTTTAGACGATCATCTGCCTGGTTTGAATTGTTTTTCCTCACTCGCCGACTTTGAGGACAGATTTCTCTTCAGCCGGCTGGATTGACTCTTTTGTCTACCGCCAGCGCAGGTGGCTGCGAGCTCTTTATAATAAATTGGCCCAGATTATTAAACGTTACCGCCCCTACTATGGCTTTAAACAATATGCGCTCCTGTTGCTGTGGGACAAACAAGTTACCTGTTGGAATCTGGCGGGGCAAACATCTCTATATCGCTCCTTATCTTTCTACTGCAGCTTTTGCGAGCTGTTATTATGGAAGCTTTTCTACCACGATGGCGTATTCACCCTATCGCCAGTATTGTCCACTCCACTGATCCAGATGTGGTAATGGTGGTCGTCAAATTTGACCGTAAAAGCTCTGTCAACCTACGCCCAGTTCTGCATGACCTCCAGTGTCAACTGTGTTTCTCTTGTTGCCCGTCGGTTCGCGTTTTTCTTTTTTGCAAAGTTCTTTTCCGGACGTTATACGTTGCCCGTATGATGGCTGCACTGTTGCCGTCATGACGGAGCGTCACCTTTCTTTGAGCGTGCACCAACAGACCAACTTAGGGCCTTTGTCAGTTGTGCCTGGTTTCCGTCGATCGGTATGTCTTGTGGCGTGGTCGCATGTTATGGGTCACCCCGCAGCCATCCCGGTAAATTTTTACCGTGAAATTGAGCCTGAGAGCCTTACGAGTGAGATTTTACTATTTTGAGCCATTGTGCTCCAATACATTTAGAACCATCGTAACGCCATCGTATGCGAGCACCTTCGGCCTTCACTCGCTGACCCAGCACGTTTTCGGGGCTTTTTACCACCTTTGCTGCCCATCTTCGTTTCATCCGTCGCAAGGGATCTGCACCATCTCTCTCTTGATCAGATAGTCGATGTATTACGTACAGACCGAACTGGTGGGGTCGTCTTGCGTCAATTTCCGCGTCTTCTCGCTACACGTGATGTTAGCAAGCTAGTTCCCACCCATTTTCTTCAGTGGCATTTTAGGTGCTCACTTTGAGCCGTAATTGACGGTCACAAGTTTTACCGCCAGCTTACCACTCTTACAACAACGGTTTGCGATGAAAAGAGCTATTGTAGTGATGCATTCGTCGAGGACTTTATCTCCCCAAGTATCATTGGCGCTGGTGATGAGAAAGCTTCGAGAAGGGAGATCTACCGAGTGCACGGGATGTGCTCAAGTATACGTCTGGTATTGAACCCAAGTCGTTTGCGTAACGACAGGCGTGTAAATTGGATAGGTATCACCCACCCGACCACGCTTTTGTGGATGCTTCGATAGCCCAGTGATTGACAGATTATCACGTTAGTTAGTAAAGCTTCTTCTCCTGCTTTTGCCTCGTATCACAATCAAGACCGACCGTCTTCAGTGTGGTCCACACTATCCTAGTGGCACTTCATCCCAGGTCAAGGAAGGGAAAAAGAAGGTGAAAAACGAGCCCTGCGACGTTTCTACCGACTTCCGTACCCATCGTTTCCCAGCAACCAATTGGCCCATGGATATCAAGCAGCACGCACGGGCCGCTCTCAGCAGCCGCAAGACGGACGGCAGGGCCTGCGCGTGGCCATTGTGCGCACGCAGTGGAACGCAGAGATCGTGAACTCGCTCGTGCTGGCCGCGCAGACGGAGCTCCGGAGCGCTGGCGTAGCTTTGGACGACGTGGTCATCGTCGCGGTCTCGGGCGCTTACGAGCTTCCGTATGCTGCGAGTCGCCTCATTACGTCACAAAAGCTGGATGCAGTGATCTGCGTCGGGTGTCTCATTAAGGGAGAAACCATGCACTTTGAGTACATTTGCGACGCCGTGTCGCAAGGCATTATGCGCGTGCAGCTGGACACGAACGTGCCCGTGCTCTTTGGTGTCTTGACGGTGCTCAATGAAGAGCAGGCGAGAGACCGCGCGGGACTCTCGGACAAGGGCCACAACCATGGAATTGAATGGGCGCAGACGGCTGTCGAGATGGCGCGTCTGCGCGAAGCCACCGCTCAAGAGCGGCTGTCCGATGCGCGCTCCCGAACATTTGCCGTACGACAGCTTAAGCAACTGTCCGTTCTTTTCAGTCTCGACGTGGCTGCACGTCGCTACTCTTGGTGCAATTGGAGTTGTCATTGCTCTCGTCTCGAAGAAGCTCACGTAAACGACATTACGGCAGGAGGAGGGAGGAGAAATGGACGTGATGGACGAGTCATGTAGTAAGCAAGACGCACGTGCTGTGCTTTTGGCAGGACGTCAGCTGCATGTGAACGGTCTGGACACGGTGGGTTGAGGTCATGCTGTGTCTGGACTATGCGCGCTGCGCGCGTTGCCTGCTAGCTCGCAATGCTTTTGGATTCAGGGTTTGCAGGTCCGTGTTGCATGTGTCGCCACTGGAAAAAGGATCAGTAAATCGAGAGCTTTTCGTCTTCCGTGAATATTCTACTCGCAACGCTCGATTGTTGCTAACGTGTATGATGATGTAGCACGTCACCTAATGACGCCACACGTAGAGGAATGAACTTGAAAGGAAGATTGACTGTGTCAAGCAGGAGATGACGGACAGATGGTCCGATGTTCACCAAAACTACATTTGACGAAGAAGGCAGGCACTCGCTCTACGACCCGATTGTTGCTGAGTACCTGATTTCGCTACATGTTCAGGTAGGACATGCAGTCTCCTTCTTGTGGACTCGCACGGCTTCCAGTGTAACGAGCTGTTGCGCGTCGTGCTCGCCCATAACCCACCCGCTTTTGATCAGGTGCCTTTACAAGATTCGTTGCCGCTCCTTCAACTGCTTCAGCACTCAAGTGCTACAATCACGTTTGATACAATTTCTTCGTGAGCGTGGTGTAGTCCTTTCGGATGCTTTCCCTATGCACCTCTTCGACGCTTGTGCATAGTGGTTGGTCCCCGTTCTCAGCTGTAGCGCAAATGACGCTGGGCTCAATGACTAAAGCATCTCGGCCTTGTCGATCCATTTCGACAGCAAGATAGGGCTGCTCTGCGAATCCCTGCATCCCCTCAAAACTCCACAATGACGGTCAATGCATCACGTTCGAATAACATGATGGACGTGCTTTAGCAGCGTATGTATGTACGTATCCAACAGACGTCTACGGCCTGAAAGGATCAAGACTGATTAGTCAGTCACTTGTCGCTCTGGGTGCATGTCCGCATGTTGAAGCTACTCTCAGCCTCCGCTCCGATTGGGTGCCAAGCAATCTTACAGCGTCGACGTCGCCGTGTCATCCTCCGTGTCGATTCTATAAATTAATACAGCCTCCTATCTCATTCGCAACAATTTTGAGAAAAACCTCGTGTCATCCTCGCCCCCACAACAAAACGAGCAGCCGTCAAAACTAATACTCCCGCCACCGATCGCCCACGTCAGCTCCTCTCGTTCGTCACTTTGCCTTTTGCGCGCTCTCGCACAAGCAGAAGAGGTTCCTGATAACAGAAGAGCCCTAAATCAGGCCATCAGGCCATCACCTTTCACCCAACCCGACCCACCATGTCCGAGCCGCTTCTGAGCAGCTCCCAGATCACCGCCTTGCGCGCCTCGGAGCTCGAGCAGTGGAAGACGCAGGAGAACGCCGCCGACCTCATGGTGCCGCTCATCGGTCGTCTCTACCGCGAGCACAACGTCGTGACCGTGCTCTTTGGCAAAGGCCTCGTGCACCAGAACAGCATCGAGCTCATGAAGCTCCACAGCTTCGTCTGCAAGTACGTGGGCAAGCGCCTGCAGCCAACCGACACGCTCGTGGTCCTCCAAGCGCTCGTGCAGTACCGCGCCCAATGCGCGCGGCATGCGCATTGACCTCGGCCGTACGTTCGTCACGGTGGAAAGTCACGTGCGGGACGTGCACGCGCAGCGCGACCCTGCGGCACGCGACGTGCAGGTGCGCGCGATCGGCGAGCAGCTAAACGCTGCGATGGCGCCACTCGCGTCGGCCCCCGATCTTCACGCCCAATGACGTGGTTCTCTACGGCTTTGGACGGATCGGTCGCCTCTTGGCGCGGCTGCTGATTGAGAAGAGCGGCCCGGGCGTGAAGCTCATGCTGCGCGCGATTGTCGTGCGCAAAGGCACGAAGGAGGATTTGATCAAGCGCGCGAGTCTGCTGCGGCGCGACTCGGTGCACGGTCCGTTCCATGGCAGTATCACGTTCCACGAGGACGCCAACGCCATTATCGCCAATGGCAACCTCATCCAGATCATCTACTCGGACGGACCGGACAAGTGTGACTATACCAAGTACGGGATCAATAACGCCGTGGTGATTGATAATACTGGACGCTGGCGCGACGCCGAGGCGCTGGGTCTGCACCTCCAGTCGCCTGGTGTGTCGAAAGTCATTCTGACGGCCCCTGCAAAAGGCAACGTGCCCACGATTGTTGCGGGCGTGAACGGCCACATGATCTCGAGCACGGACAGGATCTTCTCGGCCGCGTCGTGCACGACCAATGCTATTGCGCCGACGTTGTTTGCTCTGGACAAGAAGTTTGGCATTGTGGGCGGCCACATTGAAACGGTGCACTCGTTCACGAACGATCAGAACTTGATTGACAATTACCATATGAAGGAGCGTCGTGGACGTAGCGCTGTGCTGAACATGGTCATCACAGAGACAGGGGCAGCGGCTGCAGTGGTCCAGTGCCTTCCCTCACTGCAGGGCAAGCTGACAGCCAATGCGATCCGTGTACCCACGCCCAACGTGTCGCTGGCTATTTTGAACGTACAGCTGGACCCAGTCAAGGCAGCAGGTATCACTAAGGGGAGCGTGAACACATTTATGCAAAGAGTATCGCTAGATTCGCCGCTGCAAAACCAGATTGATTTCGTCAACTCGGCTGAGGTCGCGTCGTCAGACTTTATCGGTAGCCGTGCTGCTGGGACCGTGGATGGCAAGGCTACGATCGTCGATGGCGCCAAGGTCATTCTCTACGTTTGGTACGACAACGAGTTTGGCTACAGCTGCCAGGTCATTCGTACTCTACAGCGCCTCGTCGGCATCAACCATACGTGTTTCCCGGCAAAGGAGCAAGCCGAAGAGGTTGACAGCGCTCTTCACCTTACCTGGGACATCTAGATTTGTTCAAGAGCTGGGTGTGTAGACTGGCAAGGTTGACGACGAGAGAAGTGCGCGTGTCTTTGCATTGGTTTGCGAGTACTTCAAGAAGACTATTTCCAGCTAAGCGAGTCGTCCGTTCTAGTTCACGCATGGTATCGCCAGCGATGGTTCGAATGCGCGGGTACGCATTGTAAAATCTAAACACTGTGATACACTATGGTGTGCGGAAATGTTCTGATGCACGATATCAACGTTTGAGTGATTTGATCGATGTCCAGCAGAGAGCAGATGAACAATTGTCTTGCACGGCGAAACAGGCAACTCTGCTTGCTGTTATAGCGTCCAGAGAATAGAGTTTGCCAGTGGCCTCGTCTGTTCCAAACTCTAAACGCGAGCTGTTGCTGTCGAAGGGTACTAGAAGCTCATTCGAAGTACTAGTTGGATCCATGATCTGTAATGGGCGCTACAGGCTCCGCACCAGTACGTCAAGGGTCTCTACTTCTCTGCAAACCGTCTGTAGGCTACACACGCACATGGCAAACGGGGCAGCTGTTTGAGGAGCGAGCAGAAAAGAGCTTGGAACGGAGAGCTGCTACCCTGCGCCAGACTGGAACGTAATTACAGCATCTGTTTACAGAATAATGGGCTACTGACTACCGGTGCTCCGGCAGTTCCTGCACTTCCGCATCGTACACGAATCGAAGGACCACTTGTCGCTGCTGATCGTGTTTGTATTACCAAGGAAGGTATTGACAGGGCGCTGCGTACAAAGTCGTTCAATACCGATGCAGGCTTGCGTCTTCCAAAGCACTCGAAGAATCACAGGAAGTCGAGCCATCCACGCAGGGGAACAAGACTCTTCGGGTGATAATTATTACACATTGACAAGACACACGTCCCCGAGTTGAAAATGCTGTTGACACAGCCACCGAGTCAACTGAAGATCCGCGTGACGCTGCAGACGACGATCCATGGCACAATAATGAATGGGATGCTAAGACGTGACTGACTCCGGATAGTTGCAGTTGAAGCAGCAACCTGGTACAGTCCGGGAGCACTGACCGATGAAAGCCATTGAGCAGGCTGCATTTTTCATAAACAAGTCTCGATACAGCTCCTCGGGTGGATGTCGGCGCGGATAAACGCCGAGCTACTCATACCACTGCAAAGAAGAAGTCGACAACAGCGAGTGAGTAAATCCGTCGCGACTCAAACCAACATCGATGCTAACGGACACGAAACTCACCTTGTCGGAATTTGCCACGGGCTCATACGTCTTGTGTGACAAACCAAGCTTTTGACGCACCATGCTTCTCAGCTCAATCACCTTTGCATCGTCGTGGAAGTGGACCTTTTTCCTTTCACGTGCACCAACTACAGGTGCGCGGTACGTCCTCAGCAGCAGCGACGAGATCACGACCGATACCGACGAGAAAGCCATCGCAAATCCAGCACATGCAGGTGGAATCATCCGGTGGATCAGCGGTAAGAAAACACCCGCAGCCAACGGAAGACCAAACAGGTTGTACACGATCGAGAAGAAGAAGTTCAACTTGATGCGCGAAAACACCACACGCGCCAAATCCAGCGCCACCACCACGTCGGTGAGCGCACTCTTCACCAGTACCATGTCAGCCTCGGCCTTGGCAATCTGCGTACCGGCACCAATTGCCATACCGACGTCTGACTGCGCGAGTGCTGGAGCGTCATTGATGCCATCACCAACCATGCACACGACACGCGGCTTCAGTGTTATCGGGTTCACTTGCGACTGCAATGCCTTGATCTGGGACGCTTTCTCACCGGGCAGAGCTACCGCCTTGACGTGGTTGATGCCCATCTGCCGCGCAATTGCACTGGCCGTGCGGAGATTGTCACCCGTGATCAGCCACACATCGAGACCCATGGACTTCAGGTGCTTCACGACAGCGGCTGCTTCAGGTCGAGGAGCGTCCGCCAACGCGATCAAGCCCACGAGCTTCTTTGCCACACACACGACTACCACGGTCTTGCCCTCCAGCTCCAGCTCGTGCATGTGAGCACGCATCTTGTCGTTAATTTTAATGCCTTTCTCCTCGCAATACTCAGAGCTGCCAACCAACACGTTCACGGGAGTGTCGCGAGACGTGACCGCACTAGCTGCGACTGTGCCTTCAATTCCACGTCCACACACCACGTGCACGTCGCTCGGATCGTGCAGTTCCAGCTTCTCATGCTCTGTTGCTGTAACTACAATAGCCTTACCAAGAACGTGCTCACTTACACACTCAAGAGATGCACTGTAGTATAAAAGTTCACGCGGCGTGTACTTGCGGTCAGCCACCACTACATCGCGCACAGACGGACGGCCGACGGTCAGCGTACCAGTCTTGTCGAACACAATCGTGTCGATGTAGCGCGCAGTCTCCTGCGCACGTCCTCCTTTGATCAAGACGCCCTGCTTGGCCCCAATACCACAACCAACCATGACGGCAGTGGGTGTCGCAAGCCCTAAAGCACACGGACACGCGATCACCACGACAGAGATAGCAAAAAGGATTGCCACGTACAAGTCGTTCCCAGGCCGGTGCCTATTGATACACCCAAGTCAAGCTCTCCATTGCAAAGGAACAACATCCATCGAGAGCAGCATGATCCACGCTGATGAACGTCATGAGCGACAACCCGAGGACGCACGGGGCAAAAATCGATGCCAACCAGTCTGCGTACGCCTGGATCGGAGCCTTGTGAAGCTGTGCATCTTCAATCAAAGCACAGATCTGCGACAACGCCGAGCTCTCGCCGCCCATGCAGCTCGACTCAATTACCAACCCACCCTGCTGGTTCGTCGTCGAACCAAACACGTAGTCACCCTCCTTCTTAGCCACCGGCATACTCTCTCCAGTCAGCATCGACTCATCGATTGAGCTCGACCCTAACTTCACCACACCATCCGTCGGGATGTTCGCACCAGGAAGAATGCGTAGCAGGTCTCCGCGCTGCACAAGCTCGATCGGGATCTCACGATCACGCTTGCCCTCACTGATCAGCAACGCCATCTTCGGCTGCAAACTGGCCAGTTCCGATAATGCATCAGCTGTTTTGCCCTTTGCTATCGACTCCATGTACTTCCCCAGCGTCACAAATGTCAGCAACATCGTCGAGGACTCGAAAAAGTGGCGGCCGTGGTAGTGCTCGCTCAGTGTCGACCCGATGAGTGACACGAAGCTATAAGTGTACGACATGGTCGTGCCTGACACGACGAGGAAGTCCATGCCCATGACGCCGTGCTGCAGACCCTTCCACGCTGCGACGTAGAACCGCCAGCCCACACCAAACTGCACGGGCGTCGCCAGCACGAACAACAGCAGCATCTTGATCGACACGGCGTTGAACACGGGTGTCATGAGGACCATCTCCACTGCAGGGATGTACATGAGCACCATGTGGATGAGCATGGCCGGCAACGCGAAGATCATGGCCGTCGTCAGCAGCCTGCGCCACTTTTCCACTTCCGACTTGCTCAGCGCGTTCTGGTCCGTCGTCTTGACCGCCACGTCGGCTGCATAGCCCAGACTGGTGATGCACTCCAGCACGTCACGTGGCCCCGTCGTGGACAGCTGCTTCAGGTGCACGTGTGCTTTGTTCGTAAGCAGATCGACCAGTACCTTGGTCACTCCTGGCAGGTCGCCCACAGCCGACTCGATCCTGTCCACACACGCCGCGGAGCTCATGCCCGTGACGGCGAACTGGAGCTCGAGCGAGTCCGCGTCGCCCGGCTCCACCACGTGCGAGAACGTGGCGTTGTAGCCGGCGTCCTGGATGAGCGTCTGGATCACGCGCTCTCCGTCCTCCATCAGGTCACGGTCGAACGACACCTCGGCCTTCTGGCTGATGAGCCCCACGCGGCAGTACAACACGCCCGCCGTCTTGCTCAGATGGTCCTCAATGGCCTTGACACACGCTGCACAGCTCATGCCTTCGACGTGAAACACAGCGCGTGGATGGCCAGCCGCGTCTGGCACGTCAAGCGCCACGTCCTCCATCTCCGCTTGCAGCTGCTTGTCCTTCTGAGCTTGCAGCTTGACGGCTGCAGCCTTGGCAGCGTCATAGACACTGGCGTCAAAGCCCACACACTCCACCACGTCCACGAGGTCGTCCAAGGTCGGGCCACTGCCTGCGTGTTGCAGTGTCACGGTGGCTTTGCGGTCGGCAAAACTCACGACGGCGCTGGCCACGCCATCGACGCTTCGCAGCGCGTTCTCGACCGTCGAGCCGCAGTTCTTCTGGCACATCATGCCTTGCACCAGCAGCTCCAGCGTCAGGGGGTCACGCATTGTTGTCCTTGTGTGGAGTGTCTCGGGATGATCGTCAACGGTCATTGATGGGTATTGGAGTGAGACTCAGTGACTGACTGACTGACTGACTGACGCCTGGCTCACGCGCTCGATTGCCTCGAAAGGGGCAAATTCAGTTATGAGGGAGGGAGTGAGGGACTAATCGCTCAGGGGTTGGGTCTTTTTGGCTGTAGCGGTGGGTAGGTGGGACTATCCACTTTGAGTATGGAGTGGAGACGACACCTTCCGTTGATTGAACCGGATGGTCCGGTGTGTGTATTTTTAGAGGCGCTACTGGGCGGTTTCGGGTTTCTCTGCGGGTAGAAATGAGGGCGACTGACGCCACGAGACTCGGACGTGAACAAGTGGAGGCATGTGTGTGTTTGTGTTTGTGTGTGTGTGTGTGTACGCGGGTGTTTTCTCCATCTTGTTCCCTCTAAGGCTGTTCTTTTGGCTCGTTCGAGTCTCTCCTTAGCTGATCAACCCGTTTTGATTGATCGGAAGGTATTATTGCAATGAGAAGTGGAAAGGTTCGGATGGAGCAGTGCGAGCTCCGTGCGCTAGGCGTGAATGGGTACAGTCTCAGTCGCACTTCGACTACTGAAACAAAGTAGCCATGATAGATCGGTTGGCACCGCACCGAGTTGTCAGTTTCAGTCACAATTTTACTTTTTGACTGCTGAAGGCGTGACCGGTTACGACGGGCTGGATGGACGTAAGATAAGTATGGCAGACTCAGACGCATCGATACGCCTAATTAGGACCAGTAACTGACCAGAGCCCTCGTGTCGGAAGAAAGTGTTTAGTTCCTACATTCGACTGGCCTTTTCTGCGCCCAAATCAGTTTGTAGAAAGCACTTTTACGAGGCAATGCTACTTTTCTCATGGAAATGCAGCTTTTTTGGAGATTCCTAAAGCCGTAAACCGGAGACATTGCTGTCGTCAATCGAGCTTCGAGCGTTAACCATGTGTGATACGTCTTCCAAGCATTCAGGAAAGGGAAAAAAGGGCGACAAAACGCCGGATAGGATGGACGTGGGCTCTGCGGACGTAATCTGGCAAGCGCGCGTTTCTATCGTTGCCGAGACACTAAAGTTCGGCCGAGTTTGGCGTAAACATTGCTGACACATGCTTGCAGTAGCGCACTTTCTGCTGGTGCCAGTAAAAGAGGGTACTTGCAGGACAATTCTCACGTACGTGTAGTCTTATGACGGCATGTGCTCGCCAGGTGGACACAAGCGATTGTCTGTTCTTTTTCCATTACGATTGCCCGATGCGTGTTACCAAACTGTTTGTACCGTGTCGTGACGATCGCGAACGCGCTTTTGCGGTAGTTACACGTCCGCAGATGCCAACGTGTCTCACGACTGAAGAATGGCTGCGCTGTGTGGCCTCACCGATCACGAAAAGTCTTGTGGTGTTGGCCTCGGACGTCAAAAAGATAGGTGACTTGCACGCACTACCCGTAAACAAGTAGGTGCGGATAATGGTCGAACGTCGGCGGCCATTTATTAGCTGCGCCAGCTATTTACTTTACAATGATGGCATGCTCGCGCTGCCGTCTTCCTCCTATCGAACTGGCGGTCCTGTTTGTTCGACACAGATGTCTCTCTCCGTCATCCCAGCACTTGCCGAGGTCCAAACTATCTCAAGCGCAGCGACCGGAGGGTTCGGCACACGTCTACGCCCAGTGCTGGTTTCTTGACCCAGCTTCTCGGTACCGCGTTGGTGACTGCAGCGATGTCCAAATCGCTTCTGAAGCGCCACGTTTGTCCGCAGTCAGTAGGTTTCAAGGAACGTGGCGACTTAGCACACCACTTCTACGCGGCCGTAGCTACAAGCTGTAATTGCCATAATCATAGCCCGATCGAGCATCTTTTTTCAGTGCAGCTCGGTGCGGTGCGCGTGCTACTGCTCTACCTTTGACTGCTCTACAGTTGCGTCTGGAAAGCGCATTGCCCACTTCGTATCGATTTACACATGCACACGTCACCGGACCTCTGTAGACGCCAAAGATGGCCACCAACAGTTGTCAATGCGTAGCCATCGGCTGCAATGAGTACTGGACACTTTCTTCCGTACGTGCGAGTTAACGCTTCGACTGGAGCCAAACACTGAGACAAATACGTGAAGCAATAGCGACACACATCAATGCATCGTGTATCCGACCCAGATGGATAGCAGTCGCCTCCATGCTTTAAACCGTTTTTCATCAAAGAGCCCTCCACAAGCCAACAACCTGTCGCGCACACGCACTCCAAGCTACGCCACACCGTCGCTGCATTTTCTGGACCGCCAGAGCTTTGGACTACTGCCTCAAATCGCGGGATGCTTTCGACAGGAGCAATAAATTTGGAGCCGCTTTTTCTCTTCCTCTTCGTGGCATTTTCTCTACGAAGTTCAGGTTCAAACGCTCATCTTCCAGTCTGCCAGTCACAAAAATTCTCGGGGTACAATGCGACTTGTTGTCGCGTTGTCGTCGTCTCCAGCAGCGTCGTGATTGGTCTGCTCAACCTCCCACGTCTTCAACATCCCACGTCTTCACTGAATGAGCTTGTCACGATTGCACGACGCACATCCACCGCTGTCGCCTCTTGTCCCTATCGCACACGGACAGGCCAGCAAAGTCCGATCAGATCAAGAAGTTAGAAAGGGCAAGCGACGGTACCTTCGCGTCACCGCATTTTTTGCTCCCGAACACCCGGTCAAGATCTCTCGAAGCGAGTCGCCAGCTGTTTTCCTCGCACCTTCGCACCTGATCGGGCCATGCGAAAAACAGCTCCTCATCGTTTCAGCGAAACCAGCTGTCTGGACGGAACGGCGTCGCCCACCACGTCAAGATCATCCTTCCTATACTGAAGCCGAAAGAGCACTTCCGCTCGAGAGCCGAGACGGTGCTCGAACGGAAGACCACTTGCCATCCGCTCGTAGTTCATTTTTCAATTGTCGCCGTCCTGAGCATTCCAAGCCAATCGAAAGCAGCCAACGATGGTGGCGTCTGCTTCTCACTCTGACGTGCTCGAGCTCGCGGTGGAAGGCATGAGGTGCATGAGGAACTGCGGGACCAAAGTCCAGAAAGCGCTTCGCAGCGTCGACGGCGTGGCGTCTGCAGTCGTTAACTTCAAAGAGCGGAGCGCTCGTGTCGTGTGCGTCTCGGGGGTTCAAGTGGCAGCACGTGATTTGGTGGACGCCGTCGAGAACGTTGGCTTCAAAGCAGCACTCAAGGCACGAGCTGGGCATGAAGAGTCCAGGACAACAACGCGTGACCCCCTGACGCTCGAGCTGCTGGTGCAAGGCATGATGTGCCAGAAGAACTGCGGCTCGACGGTCGAGAACGCGCTGCGAAGCGTCGATGGCGTGGCCAGCGTCGTCGTGAGTTTTGCTGACCGCAAAGCCACCGTGACACTGCAACACGCAGGCAGTGGCCCGACCTTGGACGACCTCGTGGACGTGGTGGAGTGTGTGGGCTTTGACGCCAGTGTCTATGACGCTGCCAAGGCTGCAGCCGTCAAGCTGCAAGCTCAGAAGGACAAGCAGCTGCAAGCGGAGATGGAGGACGTGGCGCTTGACGTGCCAGACGCGGCTGGCCATCCACGCGCTGTGTTTCACGTCGAAGGCATGAGCTGTGCAGCGTGTGTCAAGGCCATTGAGGACCATCTGAGCAAGACGGCGGGCGTGTTGTACTGTCGTGTGGGACTCATAAGTCAGAAGGCCGAGGTGTCCTTTGATCGTGACTTGATCGAGGACGGAGAGCGCGTGATCCAGACGCTCATTCAGGACGCCGGCTACAAGGCGACTTTCTCGCACGTGGTGGAGCCGGGCGACGCGGACTCGCTCGAGCTCCAGTTCGCCGTCACGGGCATGAGCTCCGCGGCGTGTGTGGACAGGATCGAGTCGGCTGTGGGCGACCTGCCAGGAGTGACCAAGGTACTGGTCGGTCTGCTTACGAACAAGGCGCACGTGCATCTAAAGCAGTTGTCCAAGACAGGTCCACGCGACGTGCTGGAGTGCATCACCAGTCTCGGCTATGCAGCCGACGTGGCGGTCAAGACGACGGACCAGAACGCGCTGAGCAAGTCGGAAGTGGAAAAGTGGCGCAGGCTGCTGACGACGGCCATGATCTTCGCGTTGCCGGCCATGCTCATCCACATGGTGCTCATGTACATTCCTGCAGTGGAGATGGTCCTCATGACACCCGTGTTCAACGCCGTGTCGATCAAGATGCTGCTGTTGTTCGTGCTGGCGACGCCCGTGCAGTTTGGTGTGGGCTGGCGGTTCTACGTCGCAGCGTGGAAGGGTCTGCAGCACGGCGTCATGGGCATGGACTTCCTCGTCGTGTCAGGCACGACCATGTCGTACACTTATAGCTTCGTGTCGCTCATCGGGTCGACAGTGAGCGAGCACTACCACGGCCGCCACTTTTTCGAGTCATCGGCGATGCTGCTGACGTTTGTGACGCTTGGCAAGTACATGGAGTCGATGGCCAAAGGCAAGACAGCCGACGCTCTATCTGAGCTCGCGAGTTTGCAGCCAAAGACTGCGTTGCTCATCAAGGAGGGCGAGCGTGATCGCGAGATCCCGATCGAGCTCGTGCAGCGTGGAGACTTGCTCCGGATTCTTCCGGGCGCGAACATCCCGACGGATGGTGTGGTGAAGTTAGGGTCGAGCTCAATCGATGAGTCGATGCTGACTGGAGAGAGTATGCCGGTGGCCAAGAAAGAAGGCGATCATGTGTTTGGATCGACCGTGAACCAGCAGGGCGCGTTGGTCATCAAGTCGAGCTGCATGGGCGGCGAGAGTTCGGCGTTGTCGCAAATCTGTGCTTTGATCGAGGACGCGCAGCTGAACAAAGCTCCGATCCAGGCGTACGCAGACTGGTTGGCCTCGATCTTTGCCCCGTGCGTCCTCGGGTTGTCGCTCATGACGTTCATCGCGTGGATCACTCTTCTTCGTTTGCGGCTCGTTCCAATGGAGTGGAGGGTCGGTCTTGGAGTCGAGACGTTGAGCGATCGCTCGGAAGACTTGTACGTGGCAGTTCTGTATGCGATCTCGGTCGTCGTCATTGCGTGCCCGTGTGCGTTGGGGCTAGCTACACCCACTGCCGTCATGGTTGGTTGTGGTATTGGGGCCAAGCAGGGTGTCCTCATCAAAGGTGGGCGCGCACTTGAAACGGCTCGCTTCATCGACACGATTGTGTTCGACAAGACTGGTACGCTGACCGTCGGCCGTCCGTCCGTGCGCGATGTAGTGGTGGCTGACCGCAAGTACACGCCGCGTGAACTTTTATACTACAGTGCATCTCTTGAGTGTGTAAGTGAGCACGTTCTTGGCAAGGCTATCGTGATGACAGCAACCGAGCAGGAGAAGCTGGAACTGCACGATCCGAGCGACGTGCACGTGGTGTGTGGACGTGGAATTGAAGGCACAGTCGCAGCTAGTGCGGTCACGTCTCGCGACACTCCCGTGAACGTGTTGGTTGGCAACTCGGAGTACTGCGAGGCGAAAGGCATTGAGATCAGCGACAAGATGCGTGCTCACATGCACGAGCTGGAGCTGGAGAGCAAGACCGTGGTAGTCGTGGTGTGGTGGCAAAGAAGCTCGTGGGCTTGATCGCGTTGGCGGACGCTCCTCGACCTGAAGCAGCCGCCGTCATGAAGCATCTGAAGTCCATGGGCTTGGATGTGTGGTTAATCACGGGTGACAACCTTCGCACAGCCAGTGTGGTCGCGCGCCAGCTGGGTATCAACCACGTGAAGGCAGTTGCTCTACCTGGTGAAAAGGCGTCTCAGATCAAGGCGCTGCAGTCGCAAGTGAACCCGCTGACACTGAAGCCACGCGTGGTTTGTATGGTTGGTGATGGTATCAATGATGCGCCGGCGCTGGCGCAGTCAGACGTCGGTATGGCAATTGGTGCCGGTACGCAGATTGCCAAGGCCGAGGCTGACATGGTACTGGTGAAGAGTGCGCTCACCGACGTGGTGGTGGCGCTGGATTTGGCTCGTGTGGTGTTTTCGCGCATCAAGTTGAACTTCTTCCTCTCGATCGTGTACAACTTTGTCGGTCTCCCGTTGGCTGCGGGCATCTTCTTCCCGTTGATCCACCGGATGATGCCGCCTGCATGTGCTGGACTCGCGATGGCTTTCTCGTCGGTATCGGTCGTGATCTCGTCGCTGCTGCTGAAGACATACAAACCACCGCAGCTTGTTCAAGCGAAGGTGCAAAAGGTGCATTTTGAAGAGGATGCCCAGGTCGTGGACCTCAAGAACCTTGTACGGTTGAAGGTCAACAACGTGGGGTATGCTCCGTTGACGAACCGTGGACCCGTCGAACGCGCGTACAAGGTTATTGCACAGTGAGTGTGATGAGTGATCGATCCCCTATCGCTGGGAGCTCTTGTTAGTACCATTAGTTGCGTGTTTGTGTGCCAGCTACGAAGTATCTTGTCAATAAATTGTTTATCTAGTACGTACACGACGCGATGTATGGGGTTTGGTGGTCAAGTGACGAGTTTAGCTGCACAGAGGGACAACAGCAAGTCAAAAAACACATGAACGGCTGTACACTGTTGTGCATCGCGATTATTCAAGTTTACCTCGGCTACTTGACACCAACTGAAGGAGTGCGTCGTTGCGAAACAAGGGTGTGAACGAGTGGCAGCGCATTAGTGCGGCTAGAATACCGACATTCACTGAGAAGAAGATGAGGCCAGCCACCCAGAGAGAGAAAAAGGTGTTAACGCCTTGCATCTCCAGTTGGTACGCCCAGAACAACCAGTGAAGCTGAAAAGTAGCACAACACGTACTGTCAGTACAGTTCCTCGAGCAATGTAGTACATCCTGTTGCATCCCTTACCTCGCTTCCAAGCCACGCTGCAATCATCGCCATGCCCTTCCACTTGAACCTCAAGCTTGTCTGCGGGAATACGAGAGGTAGGAAGGCGATGTACCACAAGAAGTACTGCGTCAAAACATGAATACGTCAGTATAGTTCCATGTGATTATGCTTTACGCACAAACAAAGTTTTGCGTACCTGTGCCGTGCACACCTTGTTGAATATGACGAAGACCATGGTCAGCGCAAATAGCGCGAAGGGTAAGTCGCGACCATATGCAGACGATATCACGACGAGTGACGTCAGCTGAGGTAGGAAAGCAAGAAGGCCGACTCCAAAGCCCGACGGAGTGTTGTACCGGAGATAAAGACTGTAGAAGTACAGCGAGAAGTTGTGGCGGTTGTCGGTGCGCGTGAAATGGTAAAGATAAGCTTCATGCAGACACTGGTATCCGTAGCTAGATCATGGTTGACAAGCAGACACGATTGTTAGAAAGCCAAATACAGCTGAGTCACAAAAGCCATGGAGTGTAATGCGCACAGATAATAGCACCCGGCTGCAAGAAAGAGGAACAGTCCACCGCTGACGAGACCGAAAGTCAAGCGGCCACGATTCAGCTGCAGTATGCAAAGACGGAGCAACGGGTTGCCCGATGAAGCCAGCTCGACATGTTTTACTGCTGTAAAGTCACCATTGAGAAACTAGCCGAAAATGTAAAATGAGCATCAACACGTCGTCAATCATCACTCACGGTCTTCCCACACAAAAAACCAAACGCAAGCACCTACCACAAGGAAAGCCAGAGCATAGACGATAGGGAAGATCTTAAAGTGGACGGCAGCACCATATCTAGCCATCCGCAGCACATCAAAAGTGAGACTCAGAAGCAGTTGTAAGGAGAAGGAGGAACAAAAACAAAACACACGCAATAGCTGACAGCACGACTTGCTTGCGCATGATCAGCAGCAACGACAGCAGCACCAGAAGCACGACAATAGAGTCCGCATTACCTCGCGTCGAGATATTTATCGAGAACGGGTGAAAGAGCCACACGCTACATCGTCACCAAAGCCACAAGCCCAGCATCAGCACTTGTTATGAAAAAGTGACGCTCATTTATTGCTGGCACTTCCTACCAGCAGTAATTAACAGCGTCTATTGTTCCCGCACCATGCAAACACATGTCACATCCTGAGTGCATCAACATCAGAACCTCCTAACCGCTTCTTGCTCCTCACCTGTATCTGGTAGTCCTCTGAGTCGTAAGATTCGGTACAAAACATATCCGACGAGCAGGTCGCAGCCCACAAATAGCACCTTTCCGAATACTTGATGCACGTAAATGTTCGGTAGTAGCAAAAAAGCTCTATAATTCCAAAAAAAACGACAATAAAGGATCAGGCGCAAATACACAGAAGTTCTGACCCTATAAATTTGAAGACCCAAAACTTACAGCACTGGAGTATACCGATACGTCGTGCGCTCAAAAGGCGAATGACCATCCGTGATCTCCCGGGCTGCGTCAGTATACACGTCGTAGTCTACGTCCGTATACTTGACACCCATATACAGATCCTGGAAATGACCGTAGAGAAGTAGCGCGAACCGCACCGCGAATGCACTGCTGAAGAGCGCGAGTGTCCTTCGAGACATTGCCATGGTGGTCGTGGACAAACTACACCCTGTACTCTACTGTTACACTTGCTTGTACTATGCTATCGCTCTCTCCTGCGGGCGAGCTGTTAAAAAAAACACACACACGATACTATGAGTTTTGCCAGTCTAACTAGCCCCGGATCAAATAATGAGTACCCACTCGATTCTACAGTTTACAACTCAGTTTCCAACTCACGCGCAAAAATATATCAAGTTTGGCAGGCGTCCACTCGCGTTTGCGTGATTTGTACCACCACTAATTAGCAAAGCGGGTGCAGCGTTCAGGAATACCGCGCCTTCATTTGCTATCTAGACTGACAATTTCCTTGGATGTACGCTCCATCATGGCTTTCCAGGCATGCACCGAGTGAGCTGGTAGTAGCCGAGCCGTGTTGGTCACAGCAACTCTATTGGGTTGGTTGTAGGTTGCCACGGAGTTTGTGGGTTCGGTCACTACTTTGCTCAGCACATGCAGGAGTTTAGCAAGGCTAACCCATGCATGAGCTGTAGAGGCATCGATTGCAGATGCTTCAGAGTATCTTATCGGTCAAAACGACTGACTGAAGCTTTGATTTGATCACTTTACAATGCGGCCAGAGAACTCAAGGAAGTCTCCGGGAAACAACACACCTTTACATGAGGTCGCAAGCACTGCGGCGGCAAGGGGGGAGAGAGGGCTACACTCACCCCTATTTTGTCGGATGCTAATGAAGCACAACACTGCAGTGCGACCGTCTCATAAATACCTGATGATCTAACACTATAACTTAAGAATCCATTCCACTTGGATAGTCTGAGGGGAGACATGAAAGCACCAAACTGTTCATCGGGACGCTTTGTAGGACATCAGGTAAGTGTGGACAATGTCATACAGCGTTATACGCTCTTCCTGCAGTCTACCACCTGCCTGTCTAGAGTTTCGACTTCTAGCATAGCAAAGTTGTGCCTCAGTTGGAAACTCGCGCGATCACAATTGTATTGACGCCTCCGTTGGCATGTTCGAACACCTCAACCTCACTAATTTCGCTTCTAAGATGACATCTACCATAGAATCTTGGCACAAAAAGAAAGATCGGGGAGCAATCGCGCCCCTTAATAAAAGTAGTTCAGTTCGGAGAATTGAATCAAGTCGCAAAGCGCTATACAACATCAGACACTGAAGAATGAGGGATAATGCTGTAATTTGTCAGTATGAACACGGTACAGTATCTATGGCAAGGCGACGCGATCGGTCTGTGCTTACGAGCGTCAAGCATTTGATTTTGTTTGCCGAAGCATTAGAAAGCTGTACGCAGTTGCATGCCTTTTTCTGATCGAAACACCGCACTTCAACAAATGTGGAGGATGTGATAATATGGACGGCAGCCTGCGGATCCAGCGTATGCAATGCTCTGATCGATAAGAACCGGTACAGTTGGACGGCAGCGTAGCGAAAGGGGATGGGGTAGACCGAGTCACACCCCTTGTCTGTCGTTCCGTTGCACCTGAGCATTGGGCAGCTACTGATTAGAGCGATTTCGAACTTTAGTCGCTATGGTTTACAGACCGTTTACAGACTATCAGCAGTCGTGACTCGTTTGCTATTTCGCCTAGTGTAGTGGATCGATAATCAGAATAGCTTGTGTTACTCCCGTGAACTTCACGAGTAGCCGCTTCGTGTTGAAGTGAACACTGTAAGGTGATTACTGGCAGTGGAAAAGAAGTTTGGCTGTATCCTTGATTCTCCATCCAGCTGTCGGTAATAAAGAAACCGCCAGCCGTCTTAACTACGCTGATGACAACACTGTTGAAGAAGGGCCAGTGACCTGTTCGGAACTTGTGAAACACAAGGGCATAGTCACCTCTGTGAAAGGCCGACGGATGCGCGACCTTATGATCAGAATCTTTTTCATTGATATGGGAACGTCGAAGTAGCAACATCTTGGCCGCGATCGGTGCCATTTGCACCATCGACATCGACCGATCTGGCATCAATGACAAGCGAAAGATGGTTCGGAATAAGAACAGTGTTCTTCCGTCCGAAGTATGCGTTTAGATCTTGGTTGGAGCTCTTAGTACCACCTAAAAAAGCAACGCCACGCAAATCGGCGCAGACGCCGATGTGGCTGGTAAAAAGAATACACAGGTCTACTGTGTTTGGAATTGCACGTCTCCGCCTGTTTTTTCATGGAGTTTAAATGATGCTACTACACCGTGGTGTTGATTGCAGTGTCAAGTTTACTGTTCCAGCTGTGTGTGACAGAAGCAAACGTCTGACCGCTGAATCAATCGTTCTTTTGCTCACGCATGGCCAAGTGTACATCGCCAACGACGATTAAGCAACAATGAGTGGTGATGCTATTGCTGGTTTACTGTTCTGGAATGTGTGTGCCCCTGTGCTGTTGAAGAAACGACAAAGATCGGCTTGCTTACGCGTGTTCTGAGGCTTCACAGCGCTAGCTTACAATCGAGCAGCTAGCTTTCTCTAGCATTACAGACACAGCAGTAAATTTCAGTAAGAAGCTCAACTCGTACCCGGTTTCAGCAGACAGGTGGAGCTATCAATGACGGTTTCGATCAAGTCTTAACTTATCACGGGCGGTGCCTACGGCGAAATAGGTTGCCTAAGAATATGACAACACCTTTGAAGTTTTTGGCACAGTACACTCAGACCGGAAACCTGCACCAAATTACCTAGTTTTCGAACCATCGACAGTATCCGATATGATGGCCAAGGCCTCCGTCAGGTTCGCGCGCGACGCGTCGAGAACTCTGCAAAAGAATGCACATATTTTGTTACATGTCGAGAAATGCGTCTGGCATTACATGTGTTGCGAGATGATCTTTCGTCCTACAAATTTGCTCTCATCAAACCGTAGGACGGGCATACTGCGTTGCAGTGTGATAAAAATGTGTACACTTTCAGCTTTCTATTCGTTAAGGTTAGCAAGGACGCTGTCTACAAACAACGCACCAAACTCCGCCATAATGTCGTGTGTGTCTGTAGACACTATTGCGACGGCAGATGGTTCGCGATCAGGCACATCCTCGAGAATTTTGCGTACCCCTTCCAGTGTCTTCTTTTCTTTCACCCACTGAGCAGCCAGATCTTTTTCAAACTCTTCGGCATATTTGTTGTGTTTCACCATCGCCTCCTGCCTCAATCCGATGTTGATATCGCCATACCTAGCACGTAGATACGATGCCGAACATTCACCTCCTGCCTTTTTCCCCCTGGATAATCGCCCTTACGACATTGACGTCGCCACCAAGCTCACGCCTTAGATATGTGAGCACTATCAAAAATACATCAGAGGTTTGCCCTTCTGTCAGTTCAACGTACTGGAAAAACGTATCCAGGCTCTCGTATGTGATGCCTCTCGAACCTAACGAGCTAAGCTCAAGCATAATAGCAACCTGATCGATGGATAACCTAGCCCATTGCCAGGTCTCTAGCAGCACCTTCCGAGCCTGCGCCGCTAGGTTTCCAGTAATAGGGCTTTGTCGCGCGACCGACAAAAAGGATGCATATCGGGCTGCACCGCCAAAGCCTCTCAATAGCGTACCCTGGATCGGGTAAGCTGTTTTCCACTCGGCATTGAACTCGTCAAGATAGACAGACAACGCATGCACGTCCGCGAAGGAAAAATGTTCAAAGAACCCGTGTTTATCCAGGACCTCGAGGAGCTCGCTTGGCGGTTGGTCCTGCATCCACTCCACAATCTTGTTCTTCATAGTTTCAAGCCTTTCGGCAAAATACTGTTTTTTAGAGACTTGAATGATTTTTTCTAAAGGTTCCGCCGCAAGCTCTGAACTCTCTCCAGGAAATGTCACATCCTTATCCGCATCATGCACCTTTAGTAGATTTTCCGCGCGCTTCAAAAGTTCCTCGTCTGCTGTTATCACTGCCCTCTGACCTGCTGGAGTGAGCACGTTCTTGCTGGTGCGATACAAATCGAACAAAACGTTTTTCAGCACACCGCATAGCAAGGCGGGTGCGCCTCCCCCTGTCATTCTATCTTCATTAAGTGTGGTATTGTGTGTTCTCGACACGTTATTTGCTGGAGCGTCCGAGAGGTCAGCGACAGAGAGAGGATCATTGTCCATCATGTTGACACCTTTCATCAAAGGGCGGGCAATTTCTGCTGCACCCGTAATGTGTGTCACAACTGCAATAGAAGCAAGGAACTCGAACGAGCGGAAGGGCATCTTCATTGGCAGGCGGAGCTGTTGGTTTGGAGACAAAATATTAAATTTTAAATAGGTGAACCATTCGGCTGAATAACAGGCTGAGGCCGTCCATAATTTTTTTATACCGAATGTTACTATGTGACTATTTTCTACTTAAACTATGACATTAAAAAGGATATTTTTATGATGTTAACACAGTGAAAAATAATCGGTTGCTGTTGGCAACACTATGCTCACGAATTGAAACAGGTCATGATGACAAATAATAAGGCCACGCAACGACAGACTTGTGTAAATGTTTGGTGACCAGTGATCCATTATTTTCATTTATACTATCATTTTGAATGCGACACTCGAAATTGCCTTTTTCAATGACCTTGACAAAAGTGACAGCATTTTCTTATGGTATTGTAATCGGGTATTGTTAAAATGATGGGAAACGTTATTCAGCCACCACCCTTTCGTTAATCAGCCACCATCCACCAATGATTACTAAAATTCTACGTTCTTTTGAAAGACGTTGTGTTTGATTGGATAAAAGCAAGGTTGAGTGTTCCTAAGCAATTTCGATAATTACACGTTGTCCGTTTTTTTGCTGCCTTCTAAATGAATTTTTAAGCTTGTGTATTCATTGCTCACTACAATGAAAATTGGACACCTCCTGAGATCGAGTACGATTCTTTGGAGTAAGCAAATGCAACAATTGAAGCCCATGCACGACAGCAAAGCAATGTCGTTGTTGTCAAACGTCCAAAGGTTAGGCAATAGAAAAATGGTATCGTAATATGTTTATTCTTTGCCTGCTCCCAGTCAAACCCTCAGAGATACGGAATGGACCTCGCCAACGAGCTTCTTCCAGCCGTAGCACAGGGTGTTTGTCCAAGTCCAACATCATGTGTCAAATAAATGGACATTGGCGAACACAGGTCACATGAGGAGATCACAATTGTAACGGTGCACTAATCACTAGCACTGCTTGAGTACTAGTGCACCTGCACTGACAGCAGTGTAGGTAGTGCCGTGTGTAAGGGGCCCCCTTAGTTCGGGGGTGCCACGAAACTTCACGTAAACTAGTACGTGCAGAGGAAGCTAATTTACTCAACAGCTAAGTTGAGTGAAGGGTAAAAAGAAAACTGTATTGAATATAGTTAAGCTATCAACATAACTTTCATCTTTATCTAGCTATCTTAAACTACGTCGTCGCATGACGACAACCTGCTCACCACTCATTGCGCGCGTCTAGCAGCGATCGGTGGCAATCTAGGGTTGATACGTCTTTTATCAACAATCTTGGAGCAGCGAATGAATGTTATTCAAAAGAGGATAACATTCCTTCAATATTACCCATCTCGGATAATATTGGTAGAATATTTTTATGCTAGACGATATCACTATTGACGCCGTTTGGTGTCAATGTCATGTAACGGGCTACCCCTTTACATCACCCTCCCCCCTTAACCACCAATCACCTGTTGATTGAATTATAATTGATTAGAACAGGGTGACCACCGTTGGATCACTGGGAAAGGGAGCACTTGTTGGTCAAATTCCATTCATTTGCCAATCCAACGCATGGTTTCGAAACCCATGCGCGTGCTACTGCAGCAGCAAGAAAGGCGGCTGCAAGCACGCGTGCAGCCGCAAAAAGTGCCTCTCACGCCTCATCAGCAGGTGATTCGTCGCCTGTTATCGTAAATCCTCCACGTGGTGAGTCACCACGTGCGACAGGTACATCCGTTGCGTCTGCAGCGGGTACCTCGAATCGCAATCAAGAAGAGTCTGAGATAGAGCTCATCTATTCCGGCGAGTCGGATGATGCATTCGACTCGAAGGTGACTCCTCACGCCTCGGGATCACCCGGGGCAGACGCTGCAAAAGACAGGCTGACTGGCTCTGGTCAGCGCGGCAGTATCATGACCGAGATCTTCGTATCGAGTGATTATTCCGATGAGTCTCCGCCTCACGCAAGTCCATCCAACGATAGGACGCGTGGAGATGGTGGTGATGCACATATGCATCACCACGAGCGAAGTAGCTCAAGGTATTGGGGTAACACTGGTGCCAGTGCTCATGCTGGCACCAATCAAGAGGCCAGGAACCGAAATGTCCTGCGCCACGCTCCTCAAGTGGAGTCTTCTTGGATGCCGTCATCTAGAGAGTTAGACCGGTTGGCCGGCATCACTACCGATCGGGACCATATCCCGTTGCTCGACTTTAGGAAGATCTGCCCTCCAAATTCCAGCACGGAAACTATCCGTGCTGAGGAAGAATTCTTCACCGATGCATTTTTTAAGCACCGGTGGTACTACGGCAGCCGTGGTCGAGACGGTACGGCCCTGGTGAAAGGATGGAATGCCTTTACCTACAACATCGAGTGTATTGGCTTTTAGGCCTGGCTCAATAAACGTTATGCAGCTCGCATCAGGTTTGAGAAACGCAACCCAGCCAGGGTTCGATGCAAGTTGCACCGACTGTAAAGAGAGGCACGATTAACCCGTCTCTCGTGGGGTGATTCGTGTCCAGGTTGCCTGGACAACTCGAACTGTGCCCGTAGGGAGGCCTACCTCCCTAATAATCCCTACTGGAGGGCGCGCATCTCTTCCGAGATGGCCAAAGGGATCGACACTTTGCAATCCCTGTACTCGCGTTCGGGGAGGTCGTTTTCCGACGGCCCTTCTTTAAATGCAGCGGGTGGGTCTTGTCGTACTGCTCGACGAGACCAAGGACATCAACAATCAGCCGGGCAAGAGGCTCCCAGCTGTCCCACGCCGGTGGATAGCCACGCCAGCGGACGAGGTAACTCGTCCGGACGCCATTTACATCACGGTGGGTTCCAAAATACGCTCCACTAGGAAGCATTGACCACCGCTTGAGTTCACCAAAGGATATGATGGCGGCGGGAACACCTGATCCGGCTCGAGGGTTCGATTAAGCTAATGTTCAAGAGCTGAACCGTGTTACCGATCAGTTACAAGATGACCTGGCTCATAAACGGACTCGGCTTTGTGGGCTTGAGGATCTTGTAGGGGATAATTACAATTTCTTAACGCACGATCGTTTGGACGATCGTGCCGCTTTTGCGTTCGCGCAACTTGAGAACGAACTTTCGACTCTTTCTCTTCGTGATGAGATGGCTGCAGCTCGTCGAGACATCGCTCAACTGCGTGAGCAGGTCGCTTCGCTAGTCGACCTGACTGGCTCGTTGAAACGGGACCACTCGAGGGTGGTATCGGCTCTTGACCGCGGAGGTGTTCTTCGCATCTCGAAACGGGCTGCTACTGATAGTTTGTGTGGACACGTCCAACGTAAAACGTAGGATGCGTACGCATCTTATGGGGCTGTTCAATCGTGTATGCGTTGCCCATGCGGCGCAAGACACGAAATTGACCGATGTGCTTGGGCAGTAATTTACTGCTGCCCACGTTTGTCACCGCGTGCTTCGGTAAGATTGCTGTAGACAGTAAAATGAGGTCTCCTTTATCAAATAAAAGAACATTTGCTATTCCATGTTCGTCTGCGTTTATTTTCTGCTTATCTATTGAATCTGCAATAGAGTCTTGAGCGAAACAGACCACCGCTTCGCAAGTCAGCAGAAATTCCTCTGCTGTTTCATCCTTGTCAACAGCAGTGCGCTTCGTGTGCACTGCTGAAAGAACGTTGTCTTCACCCGTGAGGGCGTCCTCGTCCTCACTGTAGTGGTCGTTGGCGATGCTGAACATACCAGCATCGTCGTCATATCATCATCGATGTCGATGTGATCGATATCAGCATCCATCAGGTCGACACCATTGTCGACGTGTGATGAGCAAGAACCAGATCGGTTTACGTTTGAGCGAGTCCACCTCCCTTAAATTAGAGTCACACTCTGAGAAGGCGGGTCAACGTGGATGGCGTAGGCCATTCACGAATAACAGTTTATGTGTTGTCGACGCGTGCACCGAGTTGTTGATGGCGAATTCCGCCATCGGCAAGAACTCACTCCAGCTCGTAAACGAGTGGACATACCCTCGAAATATCTCTTCGAGGACGCGGTTGACACGTTCCGTCTGGCCACCTGTTTCTGTATGGTCAGAGGTTGACATCGTCAAATGTGTTCCTAGGGAACGGAACACGGATTGTCAGAACTCCGCTGTGAAGCGGGGGTCCCTGTCGGAGAAGAGCTTAAGGGGTAACTCGTAAAGTCAGGAGAAAGTATCGATGAAGACACGCGCACATCCCTGGGCTGTGATTGACTCCGGTACAGCAGCAAGATGTACCATCTTGCTGTACCGATCAACAAACACAAGAATACAAGTATTCTTGTGAGCGTCTCTGGGAAACCGATAGACGAAGTCCATCGATACGGACTGCCAGCACTCTGCCAGAGTCGGTAGCGGCTGCAAGTGTGCACGGGATGAACGACTAGGCTTCACCCGTTGGCAAACTTCGCAAGCGCGAATTCATTTCCGCACAAACTCATACTGGCGGGGCCAGTAGAAGTCACGACTCACCGTAAGCTAAGTCTTTTCTCTACCGCGATGACCACTTGTCGGGGCATCGTGACACTCATACATGATGCACAATCGCAAATCAGTCTGAGCGGGAACGACGACACGAGGCGTGTCGCCGTTGACTGCTGTATAGTACAGCAGTCCATCACGAACCGAATACTGCTCGGCTGAAGAGCGGTATTGAGACGTCAACCTTTTCAAAGCTTGGCTGCATGGATTAGAAACAAAATTCATCAATTGCAGATGGACTCATCTTCTGTGTATGCTTTTCGCACGTCATCGAGCAGATTCGATGACGTAACACTCACTGTTAGTGTCGCGAAAGTGGGATCACCCCTACTGTTGGGTTGCGCAGTCGGCTTGAATCGGCCGACGCGAAAGAGCATCAGCGACGACATTAAGTATTTCTGGTTTATACTCGACGTAGAAGCTGTACTCCGCGAAGAAAGACAGCCACCTCGCCATTTGCCACCTCGCCATTCGTTGCGAGAGGTGTGGACTGCTTAAGGCCGTGCGTAAACACCATGGTCGTTATAAACGATGTAGGGCCTATCTCCTAAGAGATATACCCGAAACTTAGCCAGTGCATATTTCCTGGCAAGGAGTTCCTTGTCATGCACCGGGTAATTACGCTCAGCCGCTTGCAGCAGACGCGATTGATAACAAAAACGCGCTCAACGCCGTCTGCATCGTACTGCAATAACGGGCAGCCGATTGAAAAATTGCTGGCATCACAAACCACGTAGAATTATCTTTGCTGATCTGCAATTGCAAAAACAGGCGATTGTATCAACTTTTTGAACCCTTTGAAGGAGTGCTGACGCCCAGCGCTCCACGACCACCTCTCGTTTTTCTTTAATAGACGAGAAAGATGTACAGTCATCTTGGCATTGTTGCGCGAGTATTTGTGCAATTACTACGTCAAGCCAAGGAACTTTCGAAGTCCCTTGACGTCGACTGGCACGGGCCAGTTTCTAATCGCCTTGATCTTTTCCGGATCAGGGCGTACACCGTTTTTACCCACAATGCAGCCAAGAAGTGGTATTTTGTTCGCTGCAAATATGCACTTCTTGAGGTTCGCGAACAACTTATGCTCTCGCATTAGAGTTAGAACCTTCCGGACATGGATTCTACGAACCTCCACGTCCGTCTTTCCATCCGAATCCCGGCCATGGACGAAGACATTGTCATTGTAACTGTGCGCGAAGTATCGCATTGATCGCAACAGGTTGGTAATACATCTGTTGAACGTTGCAGGGGCGCTGCTTAGACCTTGTGGCATCACTATCCCGAATCAGACCGCTCGGAGTGCTTACTGCCGTGTACGGGAAGTCCGTCACGCATTGGGATATGGTAGAGCCCATCTATCAGATACGTGATTGAAGAGATGGTACTTTTTGCCACACCATCTATGATTACGTCCTTCCTCGGTATCGGCGTCTGAGCCGGTACCGTTGCAGCATTCAACTTGTTAAATGCATGCACTATCCGCCACCCTCCTGTTGCTTTTCGCACACCGAAGGTCGGAGCGCTATGTGGGGAAGTTGATTCCCTCACATGGCCCGCAGCTAAACGATCGGCAAAGAACTTGTCGATCGCAAGTACTTGTTCACGAGGCAGTGGCCACTGCTTCATGACACTGTTTTTCGAATCGGATTTCATCTCGATCTCATGCCGAGTGCCTTTTTCCTTAGGCAGCTCGCATGGAACAGTTTCAGGGAATACATCCTTGAATTCAACCGAATCCTTATACAAAGGATTTGTCTGCAAAGACTCCCAAGATTGAGACGTGTATCGCTCAATCCGAGTCTTCTCATCGAGGACACTATTGTCCATAGATGAGCTACTGAGAACTCGCTCGTTCTCAGCAAACACTTGTGCCGACTGATTATCGGCGACGTACTCGTCCTCTGTGACGAGTACGCAAATCTGCTTGATCTTGTCACTATGCAGATCTCGCAAGAATCTTTTAGATTGTGGCATTGGCAGCCTGGTTACCCCCGAAGCTTACTTCGGAGGTGTAATTAGATCAAGTGTATAAGCGCCTACACTTGATCCGTCATTCACCAAGACATTAATTGACTCGGTGATTTCCTTGGAAACATATCCGCAGGTAGTTAGGGATCCACACCCTCAATATAAATCTCTTGGGAGTTATCACTCTCAGGAACGCTGGATTTTTCTTCCGTTACGTGTACTATCACGGTCACGTCCTCTTCGATCGACTCTCTGTCAGTCGATCGGGCTTGCTCTACGATCGACTCTCTGATAGTCGATCTCTCTTCCACGTGTTGTTTATATTGAACAAAGCTAATCTCTCTTCTAGGGTGCACCCTTCTTGGTGTGCATCCGTGTTCCAGTCCACTCGATCTCTTCGAGGGGTGAGCCTTCGATGCAGCTTGTGTATCTACACAGATGCCGGAAGCTGGTTCCACAGTGCAGTGGCCTTCTACACTGTGATCTTGTGCAATCGTACTAACGACCGTACCACAAGTGAGGCCATCACACTCACCTCGTAGTACATCCACACGCTTGTGGACGCTCCAAGACGTTCATCAGATGGCCATCCGATGAACAAACGGCAGGCATCTTCACGGATCGATGATGCCAGCTAACCCATGGCCGGTACTTTCTAAGCCATGGCAGACCGAGGATGACATCAAATTTGTCATCCAAATCTAGTACGATGAAGTCATCATCGTATTGTTTTCCTTCTAGCGTGTAGTGGATTCCCACAACACGTTTGTTCACTGTTACGGATGCGCCTGTAGCAAGGCACACCGTCATCTTCGTTGGAGGGAACTCTCGCTCAACATAGTTAAGCCTAATATCCTCTAGCGACTGGCATCGAATAAAAGTGTTCGACGCCCCACATTCAACTAGGGCACGAAGTGACATTCCACTTGTTACTTCGATCTTCAAAGTGATAAGGGACACCTCATCACTAGGGGAAGTAACACACAGCGACTGTGTGTTGGAAGCAATCTTCGTCAAAAGTCCTGCAAATTCTCTTGACGTTGCTGGATCAGCAGGGTGCTCCGCCCCTACTGAACCTGTCCGTTTTGTGACGGTCCGACTTACTGTCGTGACGACATGGTTGGACCCACGCCTCGGACCTTTCCTTGGCCAACGGTGGTCATCACGTCCTGTCTTTGGACGTATTGCGGTGCTTGGGACACTACACTTATGAGCGTAGTGTACAATCTTCTGACAGCGATGGCATCTTGCAGTTCGCTTGTGACTCAGAGATCGGGGGTTCTTGCTCTCGATATAACAGAGGCCCATTGTTTCGATACCTCCGGTTTTCTGCGGTCTCGTTGGACGATAGTTTGACGAGTTAGCCTGGGACTGTCTCAGGCTGAAGTCTTCCTGTTCCGCATACGCTATAGCCTTTTCCAGCGTATGGAAGTCCTCTCGGAACATGTAGATCTTCACCGGTCCATCTACAAGGCCGTAGATGAACACGTTGATGAGCGTATGATCATCGACAGGGTTTTACATGACGCTAAATACAAGGTAGCGTGGATGTTGTGCGTAAGCACGCACGTCACGCTTACCTTGATTTAGCTCTAAGGGTGCATATCGTGCTCTGAACTCGGCTCTCGGAGGCTCAAACGTCTCCTTGAGCCGAGACTTCAAGATCTTTAACGACTCAAACACGTTTTTGAGATGGAGCTTGAGCCCTAAGGCCCAAGTCTTTGCTCGTCCCGTCAAATTTGACAGGGCGAACGTGACTTGCATCTCGTCACCCTCGATGTGACGGGCCCTGATGTCATCGTCTAACTCGACAAACCATCTCAAAAGGGAATCTTCATCGGTTCCCTTGTACCTTGAGATATCAATATTCAAGGTTTCGGGTCGACGCATGTGCGTCGGCCTGCCCATCGACTGATGAGAGCCTTGCTGCTGTAGCAAGGCTATCTTCTGCCGTTCGACGGCAAGTTCCCCTTGTAGGAACTTGTTGATTGCAGCATGTTGCTGGTCTCTGCTTAGAGACTTTAACATACCACTGATGGCGGATTCGCCCATGAGAACACTCATGCGGCCGACTACCTCCCATTCTGAGTCACTCAGATGGGAGTATCCTTCACGTCTGACGTGAAAGCTGTCGTCTTCTACGTCCAACATGTTCATGTTGGACGGACACTAAGCAGTCGTTGGACGGACTACGAAGTGCTACCAGGTATGACGGGGCACCCTTTGTTTGGGTGCAACGAAACTTCACGTACACTAGTACGTGCAGAGGAAGCTAAGCTACTTGAGCGACTCGATCAAGTAAGGGTAAAAAGAGAACTTTATTTAATATAGTTAAGCTATCAATATAACTTTCATCTTTATCTAACTATACTAAACTACGTCGTCGTATGACGACAACCTGCTCACCACTCATTGCGCGCGTCTAGCAGCGATTGGTGGCAATCTATGGTTGATACGTCTTTTATCAACAATCTTGGAGCATCGAATGAATGTTATCCAAAAGGGGATAACATTCCTTCAAAATTACCCATCTCGGATAATATTGGTAGAATATTGTGATGCTAGACAATATTCCAATTGACACCGTTTGGTGTCAAAATCATGTAACGGCTACCCCGTTACAGCAGCTTCATTCTTTCACTTAAACAGATGGTCGAAGATCGCTGACCGCGGGCTCCCGCTTATCTTCCAATGCTCAGCTTTATTGTAACTTAGGACAGGAACCACGCTTGCTTGTTATAGTAGTTTCCTGCTTTGAAACGCACAAATTGTTACCATTCGTATCGTAGGAACGTAGCCTTACTCTCTACCTCGACGAATATAAAGTGGGCCTATAGGTGATGCACATTTGCTTCGGACGACCACCCGAACTAATCTTCTTGCCAGGTGCTTCCTGTAACGGGGTGAATAGTTACATAACAATTTATAAGAAATTGTTAATAGAATATAACTATAAGAGTTATATTCTCGGAATATTGTCATAAGGACAAATATTCTGTAGCACTTACGAGTAGTTCCTAATTGGTTGATTTAGGCCATTATATCAACCAACGAAGACGCGCCACGACAGACGCACGCAATGAGTGGTGAGCAGATAGTTGATTTACACATTTGTATTTAGACATAGTTAGATGAAGATAAATAGTGATTTATTGCAGACATTAACTATTATAAATACAGTTCTACTTTTTACTCTAACCAAGTACTCGCTTCTTCTTACCGTCTTCCTCTGCACGTACGAGTGTACGTGAAGTTACGAGGCACCGCCTTATTCTGTCATCAGAATAAGTAGCTTGTACTGTCACCAGTACAAGCTTCAGGGTGCCCCGTTACACCTGGTAGCACTTCGTAGTCCGTCCAAGGACCGCGTTCACATACAACATGAATATGTCGGATGATGAAGATGACCAAAGCTTTCACGCTACGCGTGACGGCTACTCCCATTTGAGCGATGTCGAATGGGATGCGGTTGAACGAATGGGTTCAACCATGGGCATCCATGCTGTTAGCGTCATGCTAGAGGCTCTCAATAGAGATGCCCAACATGCTACTATCGCCAAGTTCATTCAAAATGAACTTGACGCAGAACGCGAGAAAGTAGCCTTGCTTCACCAACAAGGTTCTCAACAAGCAGAGTTGTTGAAAGAACAGGGTGCTCAACAGTTTGAACTGTTGAGACAGCAGCAGGCTGCTGCTGGTGGGTCGATGCACTCGCTTCGACCCGAAACCTTGAAGATTGACATCTCCAAGTATAGAGGAGTCGAAGAGGACTCCCTCTTGAGATGGTTCGTCGAATTGGATGACGCCATAAGGGCGCGTCGCATCGACGACGGGGATATGCAAGTTGCATTTGCCCAGTCAAATCTGGCAGGACGTGCCAAGACTTGGGCACTGGGGCTCAAGTTGCACGACCCATTTGCGTTTGGGTCGTTAGAAGTCTTCAAGTCGCGGCTCAGACAAACGTTTGAACCGCCTAGAGCTGAGTTCAGAGCTCGAACCGAACTCTTGAAGCTCAAGCAGGGTAAGCGTGATGTGCACGCTTACGCGCAACATATACGACATCTCACGAGTTGTATAAGTTCCAATCCGGTGGATGAACACACGTTGGTTTCGGTGTTCATGCAGGGTCTTGCGGATGGTCCCGTCAAGACTCACCTGTTCCGGCTTGAACTAGATTCACTAGAACAAGCCATTTCCATTGCGGAGCAGGAAGACTTCAGTCCGAGACAGGCTCGCGCCAGCTCGACATCATATCGTCAACCGAGACGATATGACAGCGGAGGTCCAGAGCCGATGGAACTCTGTTATGTAGAGAGCGAGAAGGCTCGCTCTACAGACTACAAGAAGTTGCAGAAATGCAACAGATGTCAGAAGACAGGACACTACGCTTACGAGTGTAGTGACCCTCGTCCAGTGTCTCGCGACACTGGGCGTAGTGACCGTCCACCCATGAGAAAGGGGCAGGGACGTGGGTCCGCTGTTGGTGCAAAGACGCAACAACGGGATGGACCGTCAAAAAACGGACAGGATCAGTAGGTGCGGAGCACCCTACTGGTCCAGCAACGTCAAGAGAATTTGTAGGCCTCTTGATGAAGGTTGCTCCCAACACACAAACGTTGTGCGTTGCTGCTCTAGGTAATGAGATCTCACTCATTACCTTGAAACTCGAAGTGACAAATAAGTTGTCCCTTCGAGCTCTAGTCGATTGTGGGGCGTCCAACAATTTTGTGCGACGCCAATCGCTAGAAGATGTTCACTTTAAGTTCAGTGAATGTGACACACCTCCTACGAGGATGACGGTACGTCTTGCGACAGGCGCATCCGTAACCGTCATGAAGCGTATAGTGAAGATCCACTATACGCTAGAAGATACCCAATATGACGATGAATTTATCGTATTGGATTTGGATGACAAATTTGATGTCATCCTTGGGATACCGTGGCTCAGAAGGTACGAACCACGGGTAAACTGGCAACATCGAACAGTAACGATGCCTGCCGCTTGT